TGCACTCTACTACAATAATTTATTTATTATTATTATTATTATTTTTTTGTTATAAATGATTCAACTTACACACTAGAAGCATGGATAAAAAGATGAGACAAAAACATATGACATTTAATACAATAAAAATAAAAATCTAGGACATAGGACCTGACAAGGACACATCTATCAATTATATGTGCTTTTAAACAATCATTTTTTTTAATAAATTTTTTATAAATTTTTATAAGAGAATTTCATTGAGGATCAAAATTTACAAAAGAGATTAATATCCATGGTGTTTACAGAAGACCTTCCCAATTTGCAACGAGGAAGGTATAACTATAGGAAGTAAAAATATTAGATGGTTTACACCAAGATATAACTTGGTAAACAACATTGTCGAAAAGTTTTGTACAAGTCTGTGTCTTTTTTGCAAATATTCTCTGATTTCTTTCTTTCCACATTCCAAATGAAAGTCGTGATGAAGTTTTCCATAGTAGGGCTTTTGCATTCTTGAAAGGGTGGTACGTTAAGGTCATATCCAATAGATCCTTTACCTCCCTAGGAAATGTGAGATGCCATCCGAATATATTGAGAATTGTTGTTCAGAAATTCTGTGCATATGTGCATTGCATGAATAAGTGTCTTTGTGATTCGTTTTCTTTCTTGTATAATGAACACTAATTTGGAGAAAAAGTGATGTACCAACATTCCACGTTTCTTTGATCGTGACTTTTTTGCTATGAAAGAGCTGGTACAAAAGTGGATACCTCTAGCATGGTGTTTTCAATCCATGAGTTGGTTCAATATGATGTGCTTCCTCCATCACTCACCCTATGGCAAGTTTGGTTGGTGATGAGGTTTTCGATGTTTCATTATGTACTTCCAAGGCCTTTTGTAGAAGATGGAGGGGGTTGATTTTTGTTTGATGTAGGAGTATATTTGGTCTTTATAAGATTTCTCCACAAGGCATTTTCTTTGTGATGATACCTCTATATCCGTTTGGCAAGGAGAGCTTTGTTCTTTATCGAGAGAAGATTGAGGCCTCTCTTTTATGTTGGGAGGTTTATAATATTCCATCGGACAAGGTGTGAGTAATCTTTCCACAATTAGTTTTTAAATTATCTTTCTATATCCGCTACCACTTTTTGTGGCATTTCAAATAGACATGTAGTAAGTGGAGAGGTTTGATAATGTGGATTGTATTAGAGTGAGTCTTTCACCTTTTGAAGTATAACATGATGACCAGGTTGACCATCTTCTTTCTATTTTTTTCAATAATAATCTTTTAGAAGGAAAAAGATTTGTGGTTTCCTTTTAGAGGTAGTCCTAGGTACATATTTGGTCATTCTCCCTTTTTACCCCCATATAGACATGTTTTATTTATTTCAAAAAGTTCATATTGATATTTTGTCAAGAGAATCTTTCAAAGGTTTTAACCGTCTCGATCATGTTTTTTTTATGGAAGAGGCATCTGCCAAATCAGAAAAGGGGATTGTGTCGTCCCCAAACTGGAGGTGGGTTATGCTTAAGCCTTCACTACCAATCTGAAAACTTTTTATTTGTCATTCGTATTCTGCTTTTGTCAGCAGTACATGATGAAAAGAAAAGGGGGATAGTGGATCTCCTTGTCTCAGACCCCATGTGGCATAAATCTTCCCTCTTGGTCTTCTATTTTTGTTCACATTTCCACAATTTTAAATATTTAATATGCTTGATAAGTATTTAATACTTACCTAACAAGGTTTGGACTCATAAAACTTGTACATATCTAGTGTCCAACACATGTTCATTGTGATAACAAGTGGTGGAGTATCTGACTCATGTTGGTCATGAACATGTTACTCAAAGCGTTTGTGCTTTTTTGGCCTAATAAGCTATAGCTACACCTCTCCCTTTCTCATCTTTGAATCTCGTCTCTCTAATCCTTCCTCTTATTTTATTATCTTTCATTTTTGACTCTCCCCTCTAGCTCCTCCTTTTGCATCTCTCTTCGTTTTTTGGCTTTGTAACCCTCTCCCTTCTTCTTCTCATCTCTCTTACTCTGTCACCCTTAGTTTCCCTCTCGACCTCCGTCACTCTCAGCATCAGTTTTGACCAAAATTGATCAATTGAATTGGTGAATGGTCAGTTTATACAAGTCTTAAAAAATTACTGATATCCAACCAACCAAAATTGAACAATTGTTTCTTTCAATGTCGGTTTGTGCCAAAAACCACAACAACCGGTTATGTGTACTTTGAAAGAAAAATAGAAAAAAGTTGCACCCAACTCAGTATGGCATGGGACAAAATATTGAAGTTAGATTTGTCATTTTGTTTGTGGAATATAAGTGAAAGATATCTTTACTGCAAGTTCAAATGTAGTACAAATAGTCTTTACCTTTGTTTACCTGAAGCCTCTTTAACGATTCTGTTCTAACTTATGGCACCACGTGGGTTCTATGTACTTGGCACTAGGAAATATTGTTCATAAATGTATTTGACAGCATAACAGATGCAAGATCATGGCATAGAAATTTCACATTTCAAGCTTGATATAAGTAAACAAAAAAAAAAAAAAAAGATACTTTTTTTATCTTCTTCCTCTCTTTATTACTGTATCAAGTCATGTATCTAATTAATATAATGTTGAAAAATTCAATCATAGTATTTCTTTAGTGGTTGAAAAAAGTATACTTTTGGTGGGGTCTGTTGTCACAACTAACTGTTCAGAAAATTGCCCATCTTTCTCTCTTTTATTATCCTTTTCTTTTGCCACTCAGATCAGAAATTGCATGGAGGGATGCAAAATATGCTCAAATATATGAGTACCTTCGAGAAGAGTACGAGGTCACCCAGCGCTTTGGAAATCTAGATTTCAAATTGAAGTTTGTGGAGGTAATATTGGTTTTATTTCATTCACATTCCTTCATAGCGTTCTTTTTCTTTATGGTTGGGTCTCTTGATCATTCTTCACAAAAGCCAGGGTAATAGCCAAGATGAAACAAATAATTTCTTTCTTGGTCATATGTGAAGGCAAATGTGTTGAGAAGGCGTATAAGTTTTATCTCATGATGACTTTTCTATTTTATTTATTTATACTACTCTTTTATAGTGAGCATGATCCATTGATTTACAGAATTATAAATATATGAGGCGACATGCATATGGAAGAAAAATTGCACAATTAATTCCTACATACTAACTAGAATGGAAAGAGGGAAGAAAAATTGCACAAATAATTCCTACATACTAACTAGAATGAAAAGAGGTGCAGTAAAAATTCTTGACATTTTTGCTCTAATTAGAGCGTAAAAGTGTTCATGATATGACATAATGTCATGCTAGCAGTCGAATCTGTTCTTTATTGTTAGTGAGCTCAAGTAGTGTTAATGCACCTTAGACATGCAAGTCTTCCCAATTTGAGAGGGCAAGCTACAGTTGGAGAATCAATTCATAGTTTTCAGAGGAATGAAGCTTAATGCCCTGGTGAGAGCTTTCAATGGTTGTAGTTAACAAATCAGTTTAGAATATTTCCTTAAGAAATTGGCTCTCCTAAATTTTGTCCGAGTGTTAATTGTTTTTCCACCTGAAGTTTGTCCGGGTTGACCCGAAATAACTCGAATGAAGCAGCAGGTGGCAAGTTCCTTGTCCAAAAGCAGAGCTTAGAAAAATATAATCAACCTCCTCATTGTCATTTCCTTGCTTAAATCTTTCACCTGGATTCTTTCAATTTTTTAGTGTTCACTTGAATAAGCGTGTTTTTGTTCTCTGGAGAGGATATTTGTTGAGGTATCCCATATATATATATATTGAAGAGATAGAACAATGTTTATTTTGTTTTTTAATCGATTTGCATGTTCCTTGCAGCATAACATTCATTTTCTTCAAGAAGTCCTCCAGAATAGAAAGTCAGATCTCTTGGAATGGTGCATCATTGGCCTTTTGACCATTGAAAACATTATCTCATTGTACGAGATTGTTAAAGATTCAACTCCTGTGCATCTCTAATTCGACAAAGAGCAGCAGATGGAAGTTTCGCTGTGGAATTAGTTAAGTTAAAGTTTTGTTCATTGTACTAATTATTCTTTTCATATTCTGCTTTTCTTACATTATTACATTACAAAAGAGAGCCTTAGGAAAAATATTGCCCAGAAGCACAAAAGTATAGTAACTCCAAGAAAGCGAGCTTCAGAAAAAAAAAATCATATAAAAGTAGTGAATTGTGGAGAAATTCATTACTGTTTTGCTATAATTCCTTTTGTGAATAAGTAATGTGGCACATGTGGTCAATGAATTGTGAACTGTTGAAAAATCACAAAGAATATTCATTTTTGGGAATAGCTAGTGTTTGGAAAAATGCACAACTTGTTGATCTATATACACAGGACTTCTAAGTAGGGTGCCATTTGTTTGATGGGAAGGATTTTCAAGGAATGAGCCATATAGATTCTTGTGTTTGTTTGGTAGAAATGAACAACACTTGATGTATTCATATACTAGACTAGTGGTTATTGTAATTGTACTAATATTGGTTGTGGGCAGAGGTGAGCAGAAAGACGAACATTTTGGTCTTCGATTTCAGCTTCGAAATTTCATCTATCAACCTCGTGTCGAGTTTTCTGATTGATTTTAAGTTATATATTGAAGTATTTTTGTTTAGTTGCACTATATTTACAAATGATTCTTATAGTAATAATTTTCTACTTCATATTTGGAGGATTTTTTTTATTAATTACTTTGAAATTATTTTTGGATAATTCATCTTTCAAATGTTTCTTTAATTTTCTTCATACAAATGTATTCAATTTTTGGAAGCTGATATATTATTAAGAATGAAAAGAAAAAGAAAAGAAACTCTTCCTTGATCATTAAATTATATTAGTAGGACTAAAGTGTGTTGGTTTGGATATAATGAATAATAAGAAAATATAATAGGATTGTTTCAGCTTTGATCCTTAATCCTTCCCTTGATCGATTCCTTAACTCTGAGAAGACTCTGTGTGCAATTTCCAGAACCAATCATAGAGGCAAATAGAATGAACTATTTCTTTACACAATGACTCAGTTCTCAAACTTTTTTCGAATACTTTCTTAGTAAACAGAAAATATCACTCTTATTTTCTACAAACAAAAATGGACTCTTTCAAGAATGAAAACCCAAATGCAAGAGCAATTCAACTAATTAAATTATACTCTCATTCCCAAGCCTACATACCAAATTAAACTTGGCATTTGGGTTGACATTGGCATGGATCGACTCGTAACGTCATGCATGTCAGCTACAGGCAGGCATCAGCGATGGAGTCGGAGACGAAATAGCAGAATTGCAAGCCTGGCTACAGTAAATAGAAACATCAACACTTACAAGAGCAGATTGATGAGCTCCATGAATATAACTAAACCTCGATTGTGCGAAATCCAGCTAATATTGCTATTCACAAAACTTGATTGTATTATATGACACAAACAGCAGTTTAGCGCTGGCCTTCATAGGAAAATAATACAATCACACGCGTGCTTTTTGCTGGTGGAAGGATCCATCTATGAGATTCTTTGTAGACAAGTTGTCATCCACAGCATCTCCATGTCGTTTAAGGCCATATTCATATGATTAAGCAATCAGGTGAGGCTATTACTCGCTCGTATCTTCTTCATTTTGATACCAATCAATCCGAATGCAACCGAAAAAAATTAGGTTTGGGGAAAGATTCAGCTTCCCTGCAATATTGAAGATGAGTATAGTGTCGATGAAGGCGCATAATACACGACAACGGTCGGAACATACCTTCATGTTTCTCAACCTCTTTTTAACAAGATTTTCTTTTATCAACCTTTAAATGGATATTGAACCATTTTTTCTTCTTGGGTCTATCCCTTTTAGATTTCCTCTCCCTTATTTGGCTGTCTTCTTTTGATTCCTTAACCGAACCCCTAATCCGGCTCCTACTCTGTTTTACTGGAGGACCAGTTGTGTAGGAGGCATGAATTTCATTCCTCTGTTTGAGAAGGTCGTCGATCTGTGGATAAAAGGAGCCAGAGCAGTCAGTCGTAAAGAAGCTATCATTTCGACAGATAAAGACGTGTTATAACTTCGAGTTAAACTTACCACTTGCATTTCTTGAGTGTATCTGCTAGTCATCTCTGTAAATTGTGCTAGAACCTATCGACATTTCCAGTAACCATCAGTACGCTTTCATATAGTAACAGAATACAGAGCTCAATTGTCAAATACTAGACCTCACGATATTCCGTTTCAAATTTGGACATTTCCACCCTTTTTGTCAAAATTTGAGCTTCCACGGCTCTAAGATTCTGCTTCTCTTCAGAAAAAGACGCCGCAGAAAATGCCTCAATAGTATAGCTCGCACTTTTAAAAAAATTGTCACCTAGATAATGTAATGGTCATCAGGTCCACATACAAGCATTTTGAAATAAGAAATATTGTATTCCATTACTCGGTAATTGAATATCAAAACCTATTCAAATTTACCATAGACTGCAAAGACATGAGTCCCCGCCTTTAATTCTATTATTTCACATGGCTGGAAACCATCTAATTTTTTAAAAAAGGCAGCATCTGGATCCTTAGCAGAGATCATCTGAAAAGATCAATAAAATCCTAATGAGCACAATATTATGTTGTTTAAGAAGTTGAGCATTATTCAAGTTGATCCTTATTCCATAGTTTTAGTTCTTTTGAAAGATGCATTCGTATTATTCCAGTTTTCTGTTTTTTCTCACATTTATATTTGCAAATTGAAACGTGATCTAGAGGGTCGCTGTAGTTCAGATGGTATGGAAACCTAATTCAAATGATTTCTTATCTATAAGGTGGCTTTCCGAAGCAAACTTTTTTCATTTTAAAAGTAAAAAGATTAGACAGAAATGGTTATCAAATGTATTTATGTTTCTTGTTTGAATGAAAACAGATTCTAGGAAATGGGCATCAAACATATTTTTAATTTTTCTTTTGATGTGCAAGTAGATAACAAAAAATGATATTAAACTTGAAATCAGCAATTAATTTAGAGTTGGCGCACCGAGTTCAATGTTTGTTCCAACCGATAGACAGGGAACCCGAGAAAATACATCCCAGCAGATGTGACTTTTCCAACCTTTGTACTCTCCTCCTACAAATATAACAAGAATTCAAACATATCAATTACTGAGCTTTGAAGGCAAAGCTTTAAAAGGTTCATTGATGGTCAAGCAGAAGACATAAACATAAATGGGGTGTTTCAACATGCATTCATAAGAATCACTATCAAATTAAAGAATATAAAATAAAGTCTCCAAAATTATACATACAAAAAATTATCAGGGTGCGAACTACTCATGCATATAAACTCACATTTTCTGTCTAGATAGACATTGTAAAACCTCAAGTCTCAAATTATATCACAAAACTAAAAGAAAATAAAATTATTATGCAGTAATATATAATTAACTGGAGAACAGATTACAAGTGAATTATCAATATATGCATGATAACTCCAACTGCAAGATGTTGCCCACAAAGACATTAGGTTACAGAACAAAAAACTATATTACGTAATCATCTGCTGAGCAATTTAGTTATGTAGTCCAGAACATACCAAAAAAAATGAAAAAGGCTATGATAAAAGATTGAGCAATACCTGTAAAGCGAGGTTTAATCCACCAGTTTCTTCCCGATCAAAATACAACAACTACACCAAAAAAATGAATTAGAAATTTACAAAAGAAATTATGCACGATGAAGTGGAATTCCATTTTCAAGCTTTGTCCTTAATTTTTGTTGTAGTCATTGTGCAGTTAAAACAGTAATAAAACCATAAAATTTAGTAATCATAAAAGTGGAAGGGAGGAAATTTTGCAATAACATGAAAGTCGATATAATCATGGTTTAAGAAGAAAAATATTCTCGGACATGTTCTCGGACAAACACCAATTACATTCCAGAGAGTAATAGTCGAACCTTAAATTTGCTTTTATCAGGTGAGTGAACTCGGCAAACAAATCCACCCTGTGTTTCCTCTTCACTTATCATAACAGAATAAAAGTGAGCACACTGTTTCTCAACCTGTAAAAAATTACAGAATCCTAAATCAGCAAACCAATAAATGGCTTCATTTGGTAACAATTTCATTTTGAGTTTTCTAATATTAAAATTTATGTTTGCTTCTCACAATTTTTTGGGTATGCATTCCCTTTTCTTTAAAACCCATTTTAGTTCTTAACAAAAAAAAGTAATAAAAATCACAACCTCCTTTAATAACTATTTGGTTTTTTGTTTTTTATTTTTAATTTTGAAAATTAAGCCTATACTCCCACCTATGGGTTTTCTTGTTCTGTTATCTACTTTTTACATATATTTTCAAAAACCGAGTCAGTTTTGGAAACTAGAAAAAGTAGTTTTAAAATCTTGTTTTTGGAATTTGGATAAGAATTAACCCCCTTATCAAATGAGCTATTTTTTTGTCTTCAAAATTTCCCTCAGATTTTGAAAACATTTTTAAAAACTAGAAATTAAAACAATGCAACATATAGGTGAAAGTAATGTTCAAAAGGTGAAGAAAGTAGTATTTATAAGCTTAATTTTTTTAAAAGAAGTTATCAAATGAGGCCAAATGAATGACAAATATTAGGTGCAACAGTGCACCTTCTTAGAAATAGGTATGCCCAATGGAAGCGGATGAACAGTCACAACCCCATTAAGTGCCTCTTCCAAAACTGTTGCAGATACAGCTGTTTTAATTGGCACGCCAAGCTTGCTGCAATCAAAGGTCGGATTAAAATAGAAAGCAAGATGACAAACTCAGAGAATCTGACATTAGTGAGAAGAATTACACCCCCCCACCCGCCCCCCCCCAAAAAAAGGATAAAGCATACCTAAAAAGGGCAGCAAACATGGTGTTCACTGTCCCCAAACTTGAAAGATCCAGCTCCAATTCTTGGCTTTCTGTTTCAACAGCCTAGGCAAAGGTAAAATCACAACTTTCTTCATTTTGAAGAAACACATTTCATAAGGCACAACAACAAATGATATTTTTGTAATTTCAGTTTAGTTTAAATTTTTTAATCTACAACATTTTAGATGGGGTTTGAGAGGAAAAGCTTATGATTTTCTTTGGCCCCTTATTTAATAGTTATTGTAATTATGTAATAAATATATTAATCTTCTTAATAGTTTCTTTAATTTTTTCCTTCAAAGTACATATTTTAAATTTAATACATTCACAAGATTATCTGAAAATACAAAAAAATTAATATTTAATTTCAAGGTTTAAAACCTAGTAAATAGAAAAAGAGTGAATAACTTAGTCTAAATTGTTTCATCTTGCGAGGGACTAGTACTAATGAATTTTTGTCTAGTCCTACTCACTAGTACTAATGAATTTTTGTCTAGTCCTACTCACTAGTACTAATGAATTTTTGTCTAGTCCTACTCATTTGTTTATTTATTTTTGAATTTGCTGACTTCATGATTAGATATTTATTATAAATTGGTTGGCTAAATCGTCAAAGTTCTCCAAGATCATCTGTAGCCAAAGTACAGCCGTTAAATAAACACACATCTGAACATGGTAATTTTCCTAAAATGTGCAAATTCACAAGAATGATATTTCACCTCAAATCCAGCAGCATCATATTGTCGTCTTTTTTCTGGATCTGACAAAATGGTGTAGGAAAAAGTGACTTCCTTAAACATGTCAGCAGCTTTGGGATCGTTTGCATTCTTGTCAGGATGATACCTGGTTTTAGAATTAGAGTTTCATGATCTATCAACATATTTAGTAAAAGAGGATTAAAAACCAAAAATTTATGAAGACCACCTTGATATAAAAGAGCCATAATTTACCATTATAGATGTAACATATCACACTGTAAGCATGCTTATATTACCTGATAGAGTTTCATCACTCATTATGCAAGGAAAAGATTGACTAACAAGCACATTGGTACATCAGAAAAAAGAAGAGATAATGGGTTTCACAGGAAATTGTAATCAAGAATCAACGGATATGACTTCATAAATGATATTCCACGCAAGAATTATTTTAAGCATAGAAAACTGGTTTGGGTGATCTGGAATAACAATGGTGATTAAACTATCATAAAAGTTGCTTGAACGTACAACAGATGAAATTCGCCACTTTCTTTTGGAAATTCTTGATACTTCCTAGGCAAGCTACCAAGACAAGGGAAGATTATATTAGTGTTCTGATAATTTCAGACATTTCTGGACTATAATATAAGCCCAATCTACTTTGAGGATGCTAATTGTATAAACACCATCACCTTGTATATGACAATTGAATGATAAAATTAAGATTTTCCATTGTTACTAATCCCCCTAACTTGACAACCTCGGGCTGAAAGTGTAATCAAGAATTAACAAGGAATTCTAAGATTGTTAACACTCATTCCCACTTGTGTTGGGAGGGGCAGAATAAGCAATTCACAGTGCTACAGTTAAGTGTCGGTAAGTCACAAACCGATGCTCTGCCCTTTTGTAAAGGGTTAAAGTGCAGTAGTTGGGGAACAATCTAAATATGACTTTACATGAAATCCTATCCTACCGGAAAAAACAAGAATACCCTTCCATGTCTCCTGAGAATAAAGCATAGGATAATGATAGCAAACGAACTCGATGTTCCAATATGAAAGTGCTCTTTATAGCCATAAAAAATTGAAGAAAACAGAGGTAAAACATTTGATATTTAGAACGTACTTGAGAGCCAATTTTCTGTAAGCGCTCTTGATTTCCTGGTCCGTGGAGTTCCTGGAGACACCGAGTAAATCATACGCATCTCGACGGTGCAACACCGCCGCATCTGGTTTCTCAGATTTGGATCCGTGCACCGGCATTATTAGGAACGATAGAATTCTCCTCGAAGAATAAGAAGAAGGAAAAAAAAAAAAAAAAAAAAAAAACCCNGATAGAATTCTCCTCGAAGAATAAGAAGAAAAAAAAAAAAAAAAAAAAAAAAAAAACCCTAAAATCGTCTGAAGCTGGGATTTCTTTCAGATTCAAACTGGAGCTCGCAACAGCAATTTGACCATGGAATTTGTTCTCAAACGACGCAAACAACGTCAGCTCGTGTTAACAGAGAACAAATCCATGGACATTGAGCCAAAGCTCTTGGCCTTTGAATCATATAGCAGGAGGAGAGAGAGAGAGAGGAGAGAGAAGGGGGGAGATTAGGTGTCGGATCGTGCTTGCTTCGGTAATCGACAAAATGAAATTTCGAAGTTCAAACCATTTGTCACAGTGCGAAGTGCGCCATTCTTTGTTTGATTCAGTTTCACAGAGCACCGCCTGCTACGCTATTAGCCACAAGCTTCACTGCCTCCACAATCATAGGACTAACCATGGAATGTTCAAAATTTTTGTACCCCCAATACGGAGTGTTCAAACTTTCTTAAATTACCGTTATACCCTTCTACTTTTTAAAATTAATTTTAACTTTTTTTTTTTTTGTTTCATATCTAATAAATCAATAAATTTTTAAAATAATTAAAATTTATCCGTTATTTTAATTTTTGTTTTTAATAAAGGTAAAATGTTAGTTTATAAAACATTATTTATTTATTTTTAAATATTTAATTAAAATTTATCGTATAAATAATAATAAAATAATTATATAATTAAATAAAAAATAAATAATAGTATCGTATGCCATAAAATTTTCATTTATTTGAACTCAATCCAACCTAAATATTAATTAAAATTTTCTTAATTAAAAATTATTTATGCATCAATTGTTTTTCAATTTAAAAAATAAAAAATGCACGTGGAACAATAATTGTTTTTAATGGAAACAAATGAGAAATGTGAACACCTTTCTCCAACCCCAAAAACATTTATTTATTTATTTATTTATTATTATTATTATTATTATTATTATAACATTATTGTATTGGGTAGCCTCTCTATTAGGACTTAGTACTTACCCAAATAATAATAGTATTAATTGCTTTAATTACTCCTAAATTCATCGTTTGGGTCTTTGTTTTGAGATTTTATATAAGACATAGTTTGGTTTAAAATGAATGTTCGGAAATAAGATGTTTGTAAATCATATAATTGTGTTTTGTATTGTATGATACTTTTCATTCTTTTACTATACTTCTAGTAAAGTGCTGGAGTTCTCGAGCAACGCTCGCTCCATGAATCGCCAAACGAACACTCACGCTCTAGCCAACCCTCATAGTGTACTTACAAGAGAAAACATAGAGAGAGGGAATGAGAGAGAGAGAGATTCGGTGAAGTTTTCTGGTGAATACCAAACTCGCGAAACGATGCCTAAAACGGAAGGACCACGACACTAAATTGATCGTCGACGTCTTTACACACACCTTATCAGCGCTTATATTCATAGGAAAACGGGATCTGAGTTTTGAGTTTTTAAGGATCTCATGAGTTGTCGTTTTAGGCATCTACAAGTCATAAAACTTTGTGGAAAGGAAGAAGAGAGGCTGACAGAGAAGTAGAGGAAGAAAAAGGACGAGAAACGACATCGAAAATGATGTATAGAGGAGAGAGAAACATAATCGGAATATGCAGGAAGTTGGGCAAGGAAGACGAATCTGTCAAATCTGGATTCGGGTCGAAGTAACGCAACCAACCTCGGCCTAGAGTCCACAACAAACCAATCCAACCCATTACGAGTAGACATTTGTTTGATGTATGATGACAAGTGCCTAGTAGTACCGACACATGTCATTTATGTTTTATGCTTATGATGCCTTGATGATGAATTATGATGTATGACGTATGATGTATGATATATGTTGACATGTATGAGTTATATGATGATGTTTTATGACGTTTTACGATGATTATGATATGCTTATGATGATGACGATGCATGTTAATATGATGATGTAGAATGTTGTTATTTCCTTAATATAACGTTATTTTCCATATTAAGTTGAGAAACATATTGTGGATGTCATATTGCATGATTACGATAATTTTTCCTAAGACACAACTCTAGATAATGTTAACGATGATGATAAGATGAAAAGTTAATGCGCATATATTACTCATAGTAATATAAAGTTGGAATTAGGGTCGTGTCATAAAGATGTTTAAAGACGAGAAACCATAGGGACCTCAAGCATTTTTGTATGTACATAAGCATCGGGATACTTTCCCTTTTATGATGACAAGTACGGATGCGTATGCTACGATGATGATAGTGATCATGTCGTGCATGACATTCAGGGGTCTATTGACCTTCGAACATCACTACAGACAGCTAGCTCGACTATGATGGGTCTAGAGGGTGCGAACCTCCTAGGGATTCACGCTCGCACATGTGAATCGTGTGTAGAGAAGTACTGCACATCCAATTTAGTTCAGACTAGAGGCCACCCCTAGGATATTTTAATGATAGGTCCCTAGAGCATCATTGCATGTGTTTGCATTTTCACGTCCCCTACAGTGGTGTCACTTATTGAGTATTCTTCGAAATACTCAGGTTGTGTGCAACATCATTTTTCTGGTAAAGGCAAGGTGCCTTTGTACGGTTGACGATAGTATTGCAATCAGAGATCATTACACATGCATAGGCTAGAAGCATATTTAAATTTCCTAAACTTAGGTTAGAATAAGTTGTTTTGCCTTTCATGTTTTGAATTATTTATTGTTATTATTTTAATTTATTTTTGAATTATGTTTCTAAACACGTAAGACCATGACGGTGTTTTCAATGATGACGTTATGTTTATGTTGAAATTATGATTTTAAAGATGATATTTTAAGAGTGATATTCCGCATATGAGCTTAAGCTAAGATGACGGTAGCGACTTTAGGAAGCTGAAATCTAGGGTCGTTATAGTTGGTATCAAAGCTCTAGGTTATAGATTCTGTAGATTCGCCTACGAGGTAGGCTTGACACGTTCTATTGTCCCACCATCATGCCCCGCCACCGTCCGGTATGCCTTGTGTAAGATAAAAAAAAGAAACACCCTTTAATCGCATGCACATTATTTTTATGTGATATTATTGAATATGATGTGTGATATTGTATATATTAAATTAAGAATATGTGGTTGATTGCACATGCTGATTGTGATATGTTTGCATTATTGTATGCTATGCAATATAGTGTTATTTATATTAGCAAGCCTGGGTCTTAAGGAATACTATCTTTCTTGGTTTCTAGAACCATGTCGCCTAGAGGACGTGGAAGAGGAAGACGAAGACGAGGAAGGGGCGACCCCCTGTTAGAGGAAGAGGAAGATGTGAGGCTAAAGCGAGCCCACCTTATGCAACTGCACCGCCTCAAGTTGTGCCACCACATGCTGCACAACCACCACAAACCGCACAGCCATCTGAAGCTGCACCACTGACACTAGCAGCTGGAGTAGACCCCACCACTAGACTGCACCACTGACACTAGCAGCTGGAGTAGACCCCACCACTAGACTGATGTGGGAGTCGTTTTAGGTCATGATGCATACGGTCACCCAACAAGCCAACAGTTCCCCAATTGCCAAAGGGACGAATTGGTTACGAGACTTTAAACGATACGGTACCCATCTATACACCAATACTACGAGAGATCCAATAGAAGCACATGTGGATTTCGTCTATGGAAACCATATTCAAGTTGATGGGATGCTGGATAACCAGAAAGTCTCATGTGCGTCATTTGCACTGCAAAAGGACGCAGAAGTATGATGGAGGGATAATAAGGATAGTATTGACCTAGGAGGGGGAATGATGGAGTGGGATCAGTTTAAGGAGGCCTTCCTCAAGTAAGACTATCGCGACGAAGAACCACTTAGGAGAGTAGAATTTTGCCCATTTGATTTAGGTGGACACTCGGTGGAAAGATATGATAGAGATTTCATGAGATTAAAAAGGTTTGCGCTTGGTAAACACTTAACAAAAGATGACTGAGAAATTTGTCTTAGGCTTGGACTTAGAGATCCACCGCATGGTGGAAGCTATAGACCCAAAAACATATGAGGAAGCTTTGATAACTGCAAAGGCCTTATAGAAGTCCAAGGATGAGGGACGACAAGAACAATTAGTTACTATTGGACGCAAACAGTCTTACGACTCGAGGAACTCAGACCATCGACCACTGGTGCGTAGGCCCTACTATGCCAACCAACCTGTCCTGCGACAAGTTAAATGGCACCCTCCTCGATTGTATTGACTGACACCCCAAGAACTAGACTGTGGCTAGAGGTAGGGAGAACTAGAGTGTAAGATATGTGGAAAGTTACACAGAGGAAGATGTATGGCTGGGATGAGAGCTTGTTTTCAATGTAGCCAAGAAGGTCCTATAGCCATCAACTGCATGGCCAAGGACACTAAAAACAAACCTAACCCATCCAGCGCAGTGGAAGAGGCGGACAGACTGATGCAAACTCGTGCTCAAGCTAGGGTATATGCGTCAACCAATAGAGACATTGGGAGGTTCGACACCGTGGTGGCAGATACACTTTTTACCATTCTTGATTATGGTTCTACGCACTCTTTTATATTTGTTCCTTTTGATACACAAGTAGAGTTCGAACTAGAACCCTTATGGCATGTTTTGTCTATAAGTACCCCTGCGAGGGTAGACTTAGTAGCTAAGGATAGAGTAAAAGATGGTCAAATAACCGTAGTCGATCGAACCCTAAGCGTAGATCTGATAGTAGTTAGCATAAGAGACTTTGATGTAATACTAAGCATTTATTGGTTAGCTGAAAACCATGCTAGTATAGAATGTCATAAAAAAGAATATTCTCACCTTAGACATTATACCAGTAGTGAACAAATTTTCATACGTTTTTCCGGAAGACCTACCATGATACCTCATTCTCGAGTTGTAGATTTTTCCATAGAACTCGAGCCGAGACGTGGGCCTATTTTCAAAGCACCATATCGCATGGCGCCAACAGAGTTGAAAGAACTCAAGGCGCAATTACAAGACCTACTAGACAAAGGCTTCATCCGACCTATCGTATCTTCTTGGGGTGCGCCGGTGTTGTTTGTCAAAAAGAATGATGGATCAATGCACCTGTGCATCAATTATAGAGAATTAAATAAGATGACGATAAAGAACAAGTACTCCCTCCGTCGCATAGAAGACCTATTCAACCAACTTAGGGAGACGAAGGTATTCTCTAAGATAGACCTCCGATCAAGGTAACATCAAATCAAGATTAAAGAAGGGAATGTACCAAAAGCAGCGTTTAGGACAAGATACAATCACTACGAGTTTGTGGGGATGTCATTTGGTTTCACCAATGTCCCAACTGTGTTCATGAAATTATTGAACTAAGTGTTCAAGGACTGTCTAGAAACGTTCGTTATCGTGTT